TTCCCTCTAGAGTTACGGATGCATCCGTATGCCAACTACACCCAAATAACAAATACATAATAGGAAGAAGTGGGTTCCTGAAATTGAGAAAATTTTCCCACTTTTGAGTGTTATTTTATTTTATTTTGGTGAATTCAGATAGATGTGCAATAAGAAGTTTCTTCAACCAAGAATCTGTTTCTTTGTTTTTTTGACTTTGGAAACTAATAATTTTGGGTTTATAGATGGTCTTACGAAAGAATTTCAAAGGATGATCTATTAGAATAAAAAAAAAAAGGCTGGATTTTTGGGACGGGCTAAGCCCAGGGCCATCATTCATGGCCCAGAAATCATGGTCCAGGACCAATTAGGTCTCATTAATACCCTCTGGTTTTCTACGCAGAGGAGGTTTTGGTTTTGACTCATTGCATCAGAAATCAGGCAGAGAAAGCTTCATGCCCCTCGACTCCATAAGCTTTTCTCTCTCTAAATAGAGAGAGAGAGAGGAGAGGAGCGAGATGGCAGTTAGGGCGAGCATATCGAGGTTCCCATTAGATACAGAGGTCCTAGAAGGCGGTGGCGTCCCCTGGGGTATCTCTCTCACTCCATTTTCGCCCACTGATGAGCTTGGGCACAAGCCCGCTTATGGCCGAGATGCCCATCTTCTTCCTAGATGTGAAAATTGTTGGGCCTATTTCAGTTCACTCTGCGAGCTCGATCAATGGGCATGGAACTGTGTTCTTTGTGGGACTCTTAATGGACTCTCATCTCAGTGCATTACTCGCTTGGCTCACCCTGAGTCTTGCCCTGAACTCTCTTCCTCATTTGTTGATCTCGAGCTTCCAGGTGCGCCATTCTCAGGGTCTTGTAAAACTGGGGGGAATTGGAGATTTGGGTGTCTGAAATTAGGGTTTTGGAAAACTGGGATTGGTTTGGAAAAATTAAATGGATGATTGAGTAGTTAGTTTGAGTCCGATCGCGAGTGATGCATTTTCTATTTTGTTTCTATTGAATGGATTATGAAATAAGATCTGGAAATATTGCAGTTTTAGGTTCCAAAGTAATCTGACCCAAGTGATTCAGTGTTACGGTTATCATTAAATTGAACGTTAGCTGAAAAAATGCTCACACTAAAACTGAATATTAATATTTATTAGGAGATTTTGGGATAGTTTTTTTTTTTTGAGAAAGTTAACCAGGAGATTTTGGGATAGTTCAGGATCACTTCCAAGTATGTTGATGGTTGGGCTTATTTGGAGATGTAAGTTTAATTCATATATGCTCCCATGTGATTAACTCTAGGATTACTGGGGTTTTGGTGTCAAGAAATTTGGCGTTTGCTTGAAAAACAAGTTAACATTGCTTGGTTGTCGTTTGAATTGTAGGATTTGTTGGTCAATCCTAGATAGTTCAGGTGTGGCCTCAAGCAGTGGTTGAAAATCTCGATGAGAACTCAGAAAAATTGGCCAGGTCATCTGGACTTGCCCACCCATCTGTTTTTTAAATGAAAAATTCGGATTTGCCCGAGTTTTGAAGTATAGCTATTACTACTACTAATATTATTATTGTTATTTTTCACATGTGTCTCGTTAGCGTAGTGGTAGAAGAGTGGTTTTAATATCCTGACAAACCAAAATCATATCTCATCCAAAAGATTCTTGTTCTTTTTTTTTTTTCTTCAGTTTTGTAAGACATTTGAAAAACTCAGTGATCTTTGCAGAGTTTATGTTCAACTTGGTGAGCCACCATGTTTTTGGCAGTTCCCAAGTTGGCTATCGAGTTTGAGTTCTCAAACACTGCATTTTCCAGTACATTGCTTATTGGGTTTCTTGAGAGATGTAATGTTAGTGCATAAACACTTCCATGTGATTAATTCTAGGATTTTTAGGGCTCTAGTGGTGAGAAATATGGTGCTGGCTTGAAATGCTAGTGATTCCACATATGTGATTGTTGCTTTCTTAGTTACTCTTGACGTCTAATGACATTTTTTTGTTCTCTCTCTTAATTTGCAGCTTAAGGCTTTTGTTGATGATAAATCCTGAGTATTTATTTGGTGACTTGAATTTTACGAGATTTGTTTCTTCTATTTTGAATGATCTGGGTGATTAATGGAGGATTTGTTTCAGATGACGTTCCACCAGAGGAAGAAGGTCAAGCTCGACCAGTCTATGTTGCTGCCATCGATTTATCAGGTATGGATCATGGACTTGTTACTTCCTTTCCAATTTTCAATTTTTTTTTTTGAGTGTGTAACGTTTGTGCATTGAGAGTTGCTTTTGTGAGCACTGCTGATTTTGATTTCCCTCTCTCTTTCATATGCACATGCACAAATGCTGACATTCAGCAAGTTCATCAAATAATATGATTTGGATCTCGGTTTTTAATGTGGTTGAGGCATCTTTCTTATAGCTTCTTATACATTTCTCAGTTTGCACTTCTTGTGATGTTGATTATTGCAGAGAAAGAGCTCCTAGGGTTATTATCTTTGAAATTGTGTATCATTCTCAATTTATTTTGGATGATTTGCTTGGAAACAGATGGCTTGTTTCATTTGCTTTGAATGATTCTTCTTCCATGTTGGTCCGGTTTGTCAGTTTGTAGAAGACCAAGTATATTAATGAGATGTTTGGTGAAAATGTTGATGATTCTAAGGTTTCGAGTTGGTTTTGTAAAGTTATTGGTGATCAAAACCTTGTTGGCTACCGATGGTGATTTTGCCCTATTTTCTCGGTTTGTAGAAGAACATAGTTTTTGCTTTCTTTCTCCTTTTCTTATCACCAATAATTTGATATTCGGTGCAGACTAGGAGTTTATATTCTTATGCTTCATTCTGGCTGAAAGTACTTTATCATATTGATAAGAATCGTCTTGTGTTTGACGAAGGCTTTAACAATGCTGCATTGTATCTTCTTGTGTTTCATTATGATTTCAAATATGGAGGTTGAACCGGAGGGGGCATCAGTTCGATTAGACTGGATCAGTTCACTGTTCAAAGCAGTCAAAAAATAAAAAATAAAAAAGGAAAAATACAAAAATATAAGAGGACCAGAAAAATCTAAAAAAAATCCAAAAAATTACTGGGAGCAACATAAAATTATAACAGAGCATATGTTTGTATATCATGATGCAAAAGAAAAACCAAAAAGACACAAAATCCTTATTGTGAAATATTTCGGTAGTTCAACATTTTCCATAGTAGCATTTAGGCATTAAAGAAAAAAAGTTATAAAAATATTTTTTCTTAGAAAAATAAAACAATCCAAAAATACATAAATCCATAATATGGAACACTTTTTAGGAATCAACATTCTCCATAGTACAATATTTGCATTGATGTTTTAGAGAATGAACAATAAAATGAAGATGATATTGAAAACAGATAACCAAAAAAAAAAAACTGACATTGACATACAGAAAATGCATGTTAGTTAACAAATAAGAGAAACTTACGACAATAAACTAAACTTACAACAATAAACTTCTTAACACAAAAAAACCCTTAAATTGAATATAAAAAATAACCTATTGCATTGATTTGAAAAAAGAAGAAAAAATCCTTTCTTGCAAAATCCTAAAAATCCAGTTTTTTCTATTTTTAAATAAAAAACAACCAAATAAAATGAGGGTATAATAAACTTACTTGGGGTCTAAGATAGGGTGGATTGATGGTTTAGATCCTCCTTGAAGGTTCACAATTTTTGCCAAAGTTTTAGGGATTTTTGGGTGTGTGTGGGTATATATATATATATATATATATATCTATATTAAATAATATA